TCATATATTAATTTTTACGCAATTCCAGCATTTTAATTTTTTCTCCTACATTTTAATATCATTTTTATTAAAAATAAATTTTATAGGATAAGCAAGATGTTGTTGATAAAGGAAGCTATTATTGCTTTATTTCCCTTCTTGTTGCCCATCTGTCTATTGTAATCCAAATCCCTTTTTATTAAAAGTTCCCTTTTAAGGATCTTATTGTCACTTATTTTAGTACTTCTTGCTATTTAGTATTTGTTGCTTTCTTTCTTTAAACATTAAAGGCAACCTCCTTAGATTATGATGCTCAGATTTATAAATACCAATCATTGAGGAAATGGTGTTTTATTTATTTTATATCATTTTTATTCTGTTTTAATTTCTAAGAACAAGTAAAATTTGGGTGTCTCTCTCTACCTGTGTGTGTTTTTCTAATGATGGGGCATATCTGTTCATATATATATACTGCAGGTATAAAACAACATTCCTACACTTGCCAGGTGTGTGAACCATAGATTTGTGCTGATGAATATTGTGTGAATATTTTTATCTTTACTTGATTGGAGGTAAACTGAAGGTAATGGAGTTAGGCATGCTTATTGGCTTTGTTTTGGTTGGGTGTTATTTTTTTAATTAAATGTTAAGTAAAAATTTAAAATGTGCATTTCATTTAATCTCCACATAGATTTTATAAGTACCACCATGGACTTTTCTTTAAAAAAAAAAAACCCCAAAAAACCTAAAAAATGCATTTTAAATAGTTTAAATTTCTTTGGATTTAAATTTTGGTTTTATTAAAAAGATAAGTCTAAAGTTGATTTGTAAAAAAAAAATAATTTTAACTATTTAAATAAAGATTTTAAATATTTTTAAAACAAAAAAGTAAAAACAATTTAATTTCTACCAAGTTCAATGAGCTAATTTGGTGGATCTCTTAGAAATGCATTATATATCCGAATCATTTGTTTAAAAGAAAAATATTAAATGTATGAATTAAGTAACTAAATTTGGTAAAAGTATTGCATACATTTTACTTACAATATAATAAAAAATATGAAAATACATTTTTCCCTAGCAGGTATATCTTTGTTTGTCAACACATTCAAAGGTGAAATAATACTTTTCTTATGACCCTACCCACTATTTTCAAAAGTTTGTGCCACATCAATTATGGAATATCAATCCTACCACAATCAATAAACTTGTTTTCTTTGAAGAAGAAAAAACTTACTTTAATATTTAAAGTTTATGAATTTTTTACACTGTTAGAAGAAATATAAAAAAGAAAAATACGGGAAAAAGATTGAAAAAAAAATGATTTATTCAGTATAATAATTTTTTGACAATTTTATAACTATTGATATCAAAATATTTCATTGCACTAACAACATCTTCAATTATTTTCATATGAAAATTTATTAAAAGTAAAATAAACTAGAAAAAAATTGATAAAGAGTTTATTGAATTGATTGTTAATTTACTTTTTGATTTTTTTTCACTAATGTCATAAAACATTTGTGACACATCCAAACATCATGCACACTTTAATATGAAAAGCCTACCTTCAGAATTTAAAAAAGAAATTAACCAAGTTTAATGAAAATTTCAACATTTATTCATTAATGAAGTTTTTTTTTTTTATTGAAAAGGTTATTCTATTAGAAAAGTGTGGAAATATTTTTCAGGTCAGTTCCAACCCCTTAATTTATTCTATGATATCCAATGAATTTCTTTATCTTTATTGCATTTTTGACATAATTATAATGACAACAAAAATTTTGTTAGAGAGACAAAAATACTATTAGTTGAAACTTTCAATAATTTTTGGCCCTTCTCAAAAGGGCTGTTATTTTTTATGTCAAGGGGCATAATTCAGAATTTCATTTTTGATCTGTAGAATACAAATCAAACAGTTGTAAAAAAAATAAATTATTTAAAAAATTTTCACACTCAAAAATGGTATTAAACTTAACATTTTTTTATTCTTCAAACACATTTTTATTTTATATCAAGTTTATCAGCAATGACCAAAATTTGAAGGTTTTAAAACCATGTTGTAAAAATACATGTCAAACTTTTACAAACAAATTTCCTGTAACAACAAAAATATACAGTATATTTGATTAAAATTAGGTATCAGCAATTCTCCACAAAAAATAATTTTTGGTAGAGTTTTCTTGAATTATTTTAAGAGTTCAGACCATATTCTCAATGTGTTCACAGTTGATATTAAATTTTTCATTTATCTTTAAAAAAAGGAAAAAATTAGGAACATCCAAAATTCACAAGTACAGATTAGCCACAAGTTAGATGGTAGCTGGGGATATAACTGACTTGAAAAATTACTTCCACAATAATTAAAAAAATCAATATGAATACATTCATTAATGAATAAATAATGAAATTTTAAATGAAATGGAATAATAAAATATCTGACAATATAGAAAAGGCTCTCTCTACATTCATCTGCAAGCATCTTTGGCAATTTTAATGCTTATCATGTCAAGTGACTGATGTTACCAGTAGTCATATTTTTGTTGCTCAGTCTCTCAGTCAAATAGTAGAATTCCCCGTGTGTTTCCATGGTCAACATACTCCTTTACCCTGATTTGTTCCTTACCTTCTCTCCTGGCTCTTGCTGAGCATTGAAATTCTATCTTCTTGGTAATGCAGAAAACACTGTAGTATTTGTTGATATATTTTTGATTCATCTATTAGGTATGAACATCCTATTCACAAGACTTTATTCTGTTACTATTATACTGATTGGGATTCATTTTGTGATTTCCTTTGCAATGATCCTTGGACTGAAAGTTTTAACCTTCCTATTGAGAATAGGGCTACTGAGGTTTTTTTCTTGAGCATAAGCTAGTATCAATGCTTTTGTGCTGCCTTGGAAACCAGATGAAACCAGTTACACCTGCCTGTTCAGCTGGAATCACTTTTTCCAGCTGTAACATGATAGTTCCAACCACAAAAAATGTCTCTTTATTTTCACTTGTAATAATTGTAAACGTATCCTTAAAGTCTTTTGTTCATTGATAAAGCATGATGTTTTACTTGTAAATTATTTTCCAATTCTACTCTTGACTCATCTGGAGTATCTTTACCTGACTTTCCAGTTAGAACTGAGTCTCTACTGTTTGATATGCATGTAACTCCATGTTAAGTTTCCACTATAATCTCTAAACTGGATCCCTACATAATATGTGGATGATGATATCCCTGCAATAGTCCATAAGAAATGTGCTCCTGAACTGGATCCTATCTACTCTAAACTCTACAATAAATGTCTTGATGCTTCTTGCTTGTTGGAAATCCTCTTCTGTAGTTTCAGTCTTTAAGAACTCGGGTGAACACATATGACTTTTGCTTTTCTAGGTCAACTGCTGATGTGTTAATGATTATTCCTGAATGAGTATCAAGCTTTAGATAAGAATGGTGAAGTTTATGCTGTTGCATTGGATTTCTTGAAAGTGTTTGGCATGCTGGTTTTCTTTACAAGTTAAAAAGTTATGGCAATTCTGGACAAATCTTTGATCAGATTCAATCTTTCTTATCAAATCTCAAAATGAATGTTGTCTTAAATGGCCACTCTTCTCGATCTTTTTGCATTAATGTGGGTACTCTCCAGAGCTCTACATTATTTCAAATTTTCAACAACACCACCTCCCCAATGTCATCGGTTCTCAACTCTGTATCTAAGTTGATGATAAAACTATTTACACCTGACTTAATGGTAAAATGGATTGCTTTGATGAGGTCAAATTGGCAGCTGATCTAAAAAAAATGATTTACAGTCTGTTGTTAACTCAGGCTTGTTATTTTTAACATGTCCAAAATGAAACTGCTCTTTTAATCACATTTTGCCTTCCATTAGCATGGCTGATGCTAACCTCCAGATGAGTAACTCATTGTGTCTTCACAGGTTAGTGTTTTCTGCTGACATGAAGCAGAAAGATTTTATTGAATTAATTGCTGAGTCTGCCACTACAAATGCCACTGCACATGCTAGAGAATTTTCTTGCCAGAATCTACCTTACACATTTATAAATTGACCATTTATCTATGCATTGAATATTGTTGTCATATCTGGTCTGCTATGTATTTAAAGATTCTTGGTAAAATCCAAAGAAGAATATACAATGTTATCATCTGGCATCACTGTTTCAATTATTTTCCCATTGCCACAATGTAGCTTCCCTGTGCATTGTCTATAAATATTTTTATGTTGTTTTCTTTTGTACCTCAGTTTTGCGAACTTAAGTATAGTACTAGATTGGCAGATAGGTCTCATTATTTTAGAGTTTAAATTGCTATATGTAACAGTAAGTTCTATGCTAACAATTCCTTCTCTCACACTTCTTGCTTGGGGAATTCTCTTACTACCTCTGGCTTTCCAGTCAACTTTGATCTTCAAAAATTTAAATGCAGTGTCAATCATTATCTTTTGTCTTAATTTCTGTATTTTTATTGTTCTTTCTCCTTAATAATATTTTTATTTTTCTCCATATTCTTTCATATTCTTGTATCTTTGGCTTTGTCTTGCTTGGGGTTAAATGATTAAAAAAATCAAAAAATCTATATATTTCAGCAATATTTTGTTAATAAAATTTTTTTTTATTGTTTGAATTGTAGTGACTAATCAGTTTTTTTTATGAAAATTACTTGTAAAAATTTTAAAAAATGTAATATATTTATAAGTACAGACAGACTAATCTCAGTGATCTTTTATTGTAAGAAAATATATTTTTGCTGTTGCTTTTAATGTTAACACTTGTTTGTTATTAGAAATATCTACAATGTATAAACAATAACAACTTTGCTAGTGGATATTTTTCCAATATCCTATTTCTCTTTATTTTACCAAAAAGAGGTAAGTTAAAGCATATTTTTGGTATTCTTTTTATTAAATTTGTGTATTTGCTTATGATATGCTAAAGAAAATAAAGCTATATCTTTAAGTGTTTCAATATAATATTTCAATAATGCAGCAAACCTGTCTTTCTTTATAGGCTGGAAGTTCTTCAAGTTGTGTTCATTGTTATTGCTGTTGCAATGGGAGTGTTGGCTGTTTTATTGCTGATTTTTGGCATTCTGGCTACTGGGGATACTCGAAAGAATGTTTATTCAGGGGCCAAATGTATCATGGGAGGACGTGTGATGGCTGCTTTTGTAAGTATTTGAAACAGTTTAATATTTTGCACAAAATGTCTTGGAAATTAATCTGGCTCTGTTTGGTTATTTTACTATTGTACAGTCAACAGTATATAGAAAATTATTTTCTAATTTCTTTGTTAAATCATTTGATAAAAATTTCAAAATTATTGAAAAACAATGTATTTATTCAGATGAGTTTTTGCTAATTTCACACAAAATTCCAAGTAAATGCTTTTAATGTTACTTTTAAGAGGAAAAAAGTATTTTACGTTCTGCTAAGCACATTTGAATGTTGATAATTTGATTTCACTTTCACTGATACATTCCTCACTCCCTGCAAAATTTCCTTGTGATTTCAAATCATAGGTTTTATATATATATATCTACGAACACCGATCTAAATTTGTTATAAAAAAATATACCATTCCTTGTATTTTAGAAGCATTCTAAAATAAAGAGCCCAGTACTTGAAGAAAATGTAAAGATAGTAAACCCAAAGATATAGGTAGACTTAGTAGCGACAGGATTGACCAGAGTGTACCCTTTGCTTCTCTTTTGGTCAAGGTGTTGACAGCATGATCTACATGGATAGATTCCGGTTGGGATAGGTTGAAACACTAAACTAAACTTTCGATGACCCCATTCCACCCATAATGGGAAAAAGGTAGTATTTTGAAAATTGACCACGTGACAAGAAAAAAAGGAACGAATAGTGAAACAGAAAAGTTAGTCTTCGCCCAGGCCTGTGGGCTGGACAGACGTTTGGCAAATGTCTCAGTATACAGACTGAAAAGATGTGTTTGCAAAATTGTGAGGAGAATTGGTCTCCCAGTCGAATGGATGGACCTGTTTTGACAACATAGGCGGAACGCCACTATATCAAAGAGAAAGAAAGCAGTTTCAACTGTCACCAAGCCCTTAAACAAAGAGAAAGGGAAAAGAAAGAAAGAACGGACTGTCTCTAGCGAGAATGCTGTCATACCAGGACGAAAGAGAAAGGAAATGTATTTTCTGCTTCATCATCAGCCGAGCCTCTAGATGACGAAAAGAGAAAGAGAGGAAGTAAGAGAAGATGTCAGAAAGAGACACTTATAAAAGGAAAAAGAAAAGAAATAGATAAGACTAAGAGACATTGTTAGTGAAAACGGACTTTATTCTGAGTTAACTTTATTTTTCTTATACCCCGTTTTGTTTAAATGTATCTCTTTTTCGTATTTGTACTTTCATGCAAATTTAGCATAAAATTTTTTTATTATGTTTCTTTCCACATTGTCTTAAAATGTTGATGTTTTGTGAATCCGTGCAGGTATAGCACGTTTTCTATAAATTCGTGGCAGTATGGCACAAGGCCATACGCTGATTTATATTTTTACCTTTCTCAGAGGATGCTCTCCTCCTACTATTTTGTCCACAATGTTTAAATGTTTATTCTTGACATATCGTCATTTTTGTTTTGGCTGTTTTTTTATTTTATCTTTCCACGATTCCATGTTTGTTAATAAATTTATATTTCCTGTCTCCATTGTTGTTTGTTGCCTACTGTGTTTGTTCCTTAATCGATTCCGCTCGGCCATGTCTGATCAATCAGAAAGAGACCCTTGGGAAAGAAATATATTTTACAAAAAAAAATGTAAAATGTTAAAGAACAAAATAACACAGATTACGACCCTCCTCTACCTTCGCTATCGATGAGGTTGGAGAAAGGAAGGAAGGAGAGGGGGTTTGTAATAATAAATATATATATATATATCTCAAAGAGATTTTTAGGGATAGTTTAATATATTATGCATTTGTTGAACACCTCAATGATACAGCATTGGTTTGTGAAATCTGATATCTGATTTGCTTTAAAACACTGGACTAGGAGATTTATTGAAATAAGAGAGAAAATCCTTTTTCAAATCTAGAATAGCTATAGCTCTTTAGCATCAAGCGGTAGCATCTTTTTGACAGCATACAATGATAAATTCTTGTTATATTTAATAATAAAAGTATTTTTTTAATGTTAAACAATGTTTGTGAAATGTCCTTGAGGGAAGGGAAAAACACTTAGCAAATCATTAAAAGCTTTGCTATAGAAAGGATGGGTTTAAGGACAAAAATTTTGTACTTATCTACAAAAACAGATAAAGTTGATAGCTAAAAATATATTAATCCTGCAAGTGAATGCTAAATCTTTAGAAAATATCTGATTTCTTTGTATCAGATTGGTTTTCATTGTTTTTATTTATTTGACACTAAAGCTGTTTGCATTGGTAATGTGGATTTAAGGATATTGCAAAGGATAAATAATTTAGTTTGATTTCTTTGAGATTGAAAAAAGCATTTCTTTGCCATTACTTGTTAACTAATTTAATTCTACCTTTTAAAATGAAAAAAATAATTTGCACTACTTGACACTCACAAACATCAGTGTACCAAAAATCTATGTTCCCATTTATGTTGTTTAAATGCTTCTACTTTTCTAATAAATTTAATTTTTTCTTGCTTTATCAAAGGTGATTTCTTTTTTTGTATTTACTCAAGATTTGCTCTAATTTCTGTTCATAAAAATCCAAGGAAGATATTTTACATTTTGTTTTGAAAATGTTAAAGGTAATATTAGCTATTTTCTTATTAGGAAACATGCTGCATTCATTGATCGAGCTGCCAGTGCTACTTAAGTTGCACTTTTCTTCACTTTCTGACCATCAGACTGGGATCAAAATGTAGTATCTGTTCTCCTTAGCTTTAATGGTAATATTAGCTGTTTCCTTCTTAGGAAACATTCAGCATTTATTGACTTATCAGCTAATGCTACTTGAGAGTTATACTTTTCTTCACTCCCTGGCCATAAGGCTAGGATCAAAGTGTAGTAATGTTCTCATCTCTAATTGTAATATTAGCTGTTTCCTTATACAGAAGCATTCAGCATTCATTGACCAAGCAGCCAGTGCTACATTAAGTTGAAATTTATAAAATCTTTCTATTAAAACAATTTTTCAGAAAAATAGGTTTCTCAATTCCACTGTTATTCCTTCCTTATTCCAGTAATGATGGGGGCTTCCTTTCTAACCTTTTCTTTGAAGTAGTGTGGAATATCAATATGACATTATTTTCTCTTTGAGTTACATGTGCAACTCATTTTAGTTGTTGTTGAAATATCCCAAATAAAATACCCAGGTGTATATTTGTTATAGTTTCATGTTTCAGAAATTTCTTCTACTGGCAATCACATTTTTTTTGTTTTATTTGTCTAGTTATACAGTGCACTTATAACAAAGTTAAACATATTCTTAAAATAGTCCAGTTAGTCACTAATACTAAGAAGATTAGCAGCAAGTGAAGAAACTAAATTGATTTATTCTTTATAGATTCTGTCAAAAGATTTGGATTGTATTTTAATCTGATATGTGATTTTTTTTCACTTTCATTTAATCCTTTAGTTATTCATTATTATATTTTTACTGTATACTTCTATGTAGAGTGATTTTCGCCAAATGAGCAAAAAGACAGCCATTTTGATAAATTATAAAAATATGAAAATTAACCTTTTTATTATCTTATTCCACTGATTCTTGAGATAGCACACCTGATTATTGATAAAGTTATTAATTTGAAAATTAATGACAACACAGAGAATGTTTATTATAACAATTATCTTTCTTTTCCTATCATGTCCATGTATATGTGTGTATTTCTAAAGATATCAAAAATGATAAAACTATTAGTAGAGATTGTTTTGTTAGTGAATCACTTTTTGTGTTGACCTCATATCCTCTGAGAAATAACTGCACCAAATTTAATTATTCAAGTTTAAACATCAAAATTTATTTGCATAAAGGACAAATAAACAAAGTAGATAAATATAACTGACATAATTGTCAACAAGTTAGCTTTACTGATATAAATGTCTTCATTTGTATCAATTTAGGAATATTTAAGAGATTGTCATTTTAAAATTACTAACTTCTAATCAGTTTTTCTTGTTGAAAAGTAAAACAATTTGTTTAAAATCTTTCATAGAATCCTAGTTTCATTAATTAGGCCTGAGTTGGGTTTTTGACTGGGGAATAAATTTTAGTTATCTGTACAATTATTTTAATATGTACTTTAAAGCCCCAAAAGTGTACAGTGGGTATTATTTGTTAAGTACAGTACATTTATTCACTTGTTCACTAAACTGTTTAATTACACTTTGTTGACCAATCAGTATTGAAAATTAACTTGTGTAACAAAGATAGGTAAAAAAGAAATGTGTGGGAAGGAGGTTTATCTACAATTGGAAATTTGATGATAGGCAGTAGGTGGATAAATAATTGGTAGTCATAGCACATTACAAAATAAAGGCAGTAATTGTAAATTTTGGTGATAGTTTTTCTTTCTTTTTATCAATGAAGAAGAATGTGAAACTTTGAATAGTGGCAAACATTGCTAAGAGTAATTACTTTAAATTTTGGATTTTAATTTTAAATTGGTTCTAGTATGCCAAATTAAATATGTACAGCATGGGGCGGCCAGTGGTACAAGTGTGCCACTGCTCAATGGTAGAAATATCTACAGCATAAAAAATAATGATAAAATTATAATTTATAATGAAAGCAAACAGAAATGCTTAAAATCATGTCTATCAAATAATATTATTTTGTAAACCTTGTTTCAACATTTCTGATTGTAGCTGCCAAGTCAACACATTGGTTTTTCAGTACCAGTAAATATGAATGCTTCCATCTGCTTTCTTGATTCTACTTTAAACCAAATATACCCTTGCAGATATATTAATGTGTAGAACAGTTTGTATGAATGGAAATTTTTCTATGTGCCATGTCCTTTCAGGATATGAGCGATCATGGCTCTCCACAATTACCTGTTCTTTGTAGCTCTTAATAAGGTTTGTTGTTTTGCTATCTTTCCTAGTTCCTGTTTCTGCTAACCATTTAGACAAACTTGTTATGTAGATTAATCACTACTTTCCTTGGTTTCTCTTCACTATATCCTGTGAGTTTCAAATTCTTCAAGCTCTCTTTCCTTATTATGTACCCTAAAAATTTCAGTTGTCTCTTTCTGATTCTAAATGTAACTTTTTTGTTTCCATTTTTCCTAAAATATACTTGTAACTCAAATGTTCAGTCTGTGGAAACTCTGCATCCTTATCTAGAATTACATTTCTGTTGCTTCAAGTTTCTACTTCATCTATATGGAGATTGTCAAACATTCACTGTGATGTAGGAGAACCGATATTACATAACAGTTCAGTATTCATTTCTTTGATTTCAACAAAATTTCCATGTTTCTTAATATTTTGTTTAGCTTTTGGAAGGCATCTTTTGCTGTTCTTATATTCCTTCAGATTTTGTTGTTGCATTTTCCATTCTCTGTTAAAACACTTCCTAGATATTTAAATTTTTGTACTTGGTTGATTTTGGTTTGTAGTTTGAAACTTGGGCTGGTCATTTTGCTTTCATTTTGTCTTCTTGCAATTGACAGTTAGTCCTTTCTTCTTGCTTTCCTTCACTACCTTCTGTATGTATTCTTGTTGTTTCCTTTCTTTGTCTGTTATCAACACTGCGTCATTTGCATATCTTATGCTGTTATGATTGTAGCTGCCAATAATGAATCCTGGGAAGATTTCTAATTCTCATCCTTGTCTTACACCCCTTTCTGTTTTTGTGTATTTACTGAATTTATTTTTCATCTGTATGCAGATGGTTTACTCCCAGTATGAGTTCTGAATTATTCTCATACCTTTCCCAAATAAATCTTCCCCATAAATATTTTCATGGTAATTGTTTTGATAAGCTTTCTTTTTTTGGTACCTTGACTTTATGAATTTAAGTGCAGTACTAGATTGGTAGCTGTGTCTCATCATTTTACAAGTGAAATTGTTAGATATAACATTAAGTTCTATGCTAACAGTTTCTTCTCTCACACTTCTCACTTACAAAACTCTTTCAGATTCTTGCTTTCCAGTCAAATTTGATTTTCAAAAATTAAATGCAAGGTCCATTGTCATCTTCTGTCTTAATTCATGTTCTGTTATTGGCCTCTTTCTTTAATGTTTTTTTTTTTTCTCAGATTCTTTTTTACTGAGTAATCCCTTGTGTCTTATTGGTTTTATCACCTTGTTTGGAGGAAATAAAAAAATCAAAATACCTAGCAGTTCAAACAGTTCTTTTGCCTTAAATGATTCTAACAGATAATATCAGGTTTACTTAAAAAAATTTTAACATCTAATTTCTTACAATTATAGTGTGTGTGTGTGTGTGTGTGTGTGTGTGTATATAAATAAATATATATATATATATATATATATATATATATATATGTGTGTTGTGCTGGAAAGATTTTGGCCCAATCAGGAAGGAGTTCCTCTAAACTTCTGATGTTTGGTCAGATTTTGGAAAGTGGTTTGGGTTGAGAGCTTTTTAATACTATCTAGTGTGTGATATATATGTGTATTTTTGTATATATAATCTAAAGAATTAATGGATTTTTATTTATTAATATTTTTATTAAGTTATTTTTAGTGGATACCCACAATTGAGTAGACACTCATTTATTTTAAACAGTATATTATTTTGTCTACCACTCTGAACTTGAGAAATTTAATAAGAAAAATGTTCCTTTGCAGGAGAAATTGTTGCTTTGAGTCTATGTGCTTTTGACCACTAGACTACAAAGAATTTAAGTAGATTGATTCTAAATTTAACTTGAGGAAATCCAGTAAGATTGGGTATAACTGGCAAACCACAAACTAAGCCAGAAGATAGTGTTTTTGAGAAGAATTTGTGAAAAAAGGGAACTTTGTAAAAATGAAATTAATGATTTGATTTTGCTGGTCCATCATTTTGTCAAATTGGGATATCAAAATCCATTGAAAACAACTAATTTGAGTTGTGAGGAGTTGGTGTTTGGATTTTGATTTGTTTGCAAATAAAGAGAATTCCCTTCTTTCAGTATTGGTTTAATATCTAATTTATTCTTGTCAATTTCACAATTAGCAATGTTTTCTCACAGTATTTATAACATCCAGCTGAATTTAAACATTATCAAATTTGTTACACAACCTTTTTAAATATTAGCATTGAATAATCTGATTTGTTTAATTAATCACCTATTATCACCAATACTTGTATGTAATTATTGATTTTCAAAGGCAATTTTTAAATAACCTATTTCAAATATTTACTTGTAATGCTGAGTTGCATTTTGTACATGAAATTAAAGGGAGCACACCAATCTGTTTTAATAGCAATGAAAGGGGGTGGCCTGTCTGCAGTAATAGGGGGCATACCCATCTATGGTAATAGGGGTTCACAAAAGGGGCATTCCAATTTATAGCAATATGTCATATGAAAAGGGTATGCCTGTCTGTAGCAGTAGGCACCCTACACAAAAGGGACATGCCCATCTCCAGCAATAGGAGCCCAGGCAAAAAGGGGCATATACATCCATATGCAAATTTTAAAGAATAATTTATGTCTTAAGATAGATGATTTCAATTTTGGGTTGTTGGACAAAATAATTTGAGCTTCTGTCTACTTTATGAACTGTTACTGGAACTAAAAATGAATCATTTGGTTTTTAAGCTTTTGTTTTCTACAAAGAAGATAATTTACATTGCATACATCAGTAACTAACACTTTTTCTTCTAGAAACTTATTAAAAAATGTCAAAAACATGGACACAGGTATTCTTTCTCTTGCCAAAATTCATTATAGACGCATTTTGTACATTTTTAAAATCTAATTTTATGATTTAGACAGGGACAATAAATTTGTGTAAAGAAATTACATTATCTTGTTTGCCTGCTAATCTTTTCTTCTGATTTCTGTTTTATGAATGTAAAAAAAAAATCAAATTTAATTTTTTCTAAATTTTGAAAATTTTGTATTTTTAAAAAAAATTCATAATTTTGGGTAGAATAAGAATTCCTTGAGTTTGAAAAAAATATTCCATCTTATCAAAATGTAATAAAAATCCAAAAACTGAAATTTAGTTTTCATTGTTTTTTTGAATCTAATGCATTAATATTATAAAGAAAAATAAGTGCTTCATTGAAATAATTACAAATGTTAAAAAACATGTTAATTTTACCAACATTTGGTAATGTATGTCACTTGTCTGCTTATCTCTAGGTCATAGCTTTGATTCAGGGCATAGTTCATTTAATTTTATGTCTATTTGCTTTAGAAACCAAAAAGCAATATTAACATAAGATTGTTTGAATAAATGCTCTCAATTTAGATGGTAACTGTTATAGATTTCTACAAGCCTGAAGCAAGCAATGCATTTTATCACAATTTTATACAAGTGCTGCCATCTTCTCATACCTATTTTTGTTGATAAATATAGTCTATATTTTAATTTATTAAATTTTTTTCCTTTCAGTTTTTGGTCCTGTCTTATGTGCTAAACATTGTGTGGATGTGTATTATATCTCTTGGAGTGATTCCTATTATTCTGTATGTCAGCATTTCTTCCATATGTGATCATCATGTCTATGGAAAACGTGCCACTAATATAACGTATTGTTTTGATCTATCAAATTATGGTGAGTTATTATGCTTCAGTAAAATATGTCATATATAAAGTGGAAAATCTATAAATGATATGTTTTGCCAAGAGCATCTGCTTCCTTCAGCTTCAAAGGAAAAACAAAACTGTATGTAAGGAAAAATGCATTGGTTTTGGTTGACTGATTTAAAATCTAACAGACACGGGCACCAATGACTCTATATAAAACAAACAGGTTGACAAGCACTTCCTGGTGTCTGATTATCAGGTAATTTGATACTTAGAGATCCTAATGCATTTTTCCTTACATACAGTTTTGCCTTTCATTCTAACCTGAAGGAGCCAAAGGAAGCAGACTCTCTTGGTGAAATATGTCATTTATCGCTGCTTTTCCACCTTGCCTTCTTCACTTTTATTTTGGACATCTTACAAATACACACATATATATTTGTACAACCCAGTAGAAAATTGTAGAAAAAATTTCAATAGATTTAATAGTATCATTAAGATTTCAATTCTATACAAAAATAGGATCACATGAAAGTCAAATTCAAATTCCCACATTAGCATTTATTAACCAATCAGTGAGGTTCTCTCAAAAGAAATTCGAGATTTGAAAAAAGCAGACAACCATTTCTTGTCATATGCTAAAAAAATGAAAGCTCACATTCAAAAAATAATCAGCAATCTTTTTCCCTCCTAAAAATCAATATTAAAAACTGGGAAATATACACTACAGTTCAGAAGGCTATGAGGCTACCCCTGGTAATTTTTTAAATTGGCCCCAAAAGTAGTTGTTTTGTACTTTAAATGAGAGAAAATTTGTTATACATGGTTAAAAAAGTGAGACATGATTTTTTTTTTTTTTTTTATTAGAAATTTTTTTATGATGAAAAGAAAAAAGCATTTTATAATTAAATGTTGCATTCATCATGATATCCTCCTTTAGCCTTGATTACAGCAGCACAAATTTAAGTTTAATAAATTTAACTTTTAACTTCCTGTGATCCTATTTTTCCTATGAATAGCATAACATAAATTAACCTTTATCACACTAATTTCTTTTTAGAATTGTTCTCCTTGCCACTGCATGTTTTTTGAGGGTGTAAAAACATGAAAGCCTACTGTTTTAAAATTGTTATAACTTTCTTTACATTCTGTGTATAGATTTCATTTTTTGTATATTAATAAAAGAATGGATGAGTAATGTTTTGATGTAATGCATGCATGTTTTGATGTTAAAAACAAAAAATTGAAACATAAAATTAAAAACATTAACAGTTTAACATACTTTAACTTTTATTCATTCTTGTGGAGTTCTAGAGTGCAATAAGAAGCAAAATGGCTAAGAAGGCTTTTATTTTGTCAAAAAAAGTGATGTGCCTTTTCATGTTTACATACAAGAAGACACCAGCATTTGTTTGTTCTTTCTTTCACCTGATTAGCATATTTGTCTCGTTGACAAATAGTTATTATTTCGTCGTTTATAAATAGACAAAATAATGCACCTTCAGAAAGGCTGTCAGGTTTATCAATGGTCACCAGTAGCTTTCATAAAATTAGTCAGCCATGGATGATAGTAGCTCTTTGGCATCTTGTGGTCATCATCACTTTCCTCCACGTCACAAGCATGGTTATCACCTTCAACAACTTCACTGTCAATATCCACTTGAGTAAAGCTTTCAGAATCATCATCAGTCCAAATCAAAGAAAAACCCCTGAATAAAGGATTTGTTGGATGTTGATCTAGTCATTCTTGTTTACAAAAAATCACAAATATTTTTCTTCAAGCAATAATGAACAAGAATTGTTTCATGTTTTGAAAATTTTAATTAGAATTTATAAAGTTGTAAATTTTTTAAAATTCTGTATTAATTTGGGTGGGTTATATGATATTGTTATTAAGTCAAAACTATATTTAGTAATCATAAATAAAAAAAGGCTTACAACAATTCAGTGACCCCTACACCCCAGATTTTTGAAAAGTATTTTGGATTTTTTTCATGTGTGTATAAACATGCCAATTTTTGTGACTTCAGACATCTATATACAACATTATCAGAAAATAAGAGCAGTAACTATAGTAAATTTAAAGCCAAAGTATCTAAAATCCAATAAAACAGATTATGGATCCTATTTTCCAACATTTTTAAGATTACTCGGTAGTTAAAAATTATATAAAAAAGGTGCTCACATTACATTCAACTAATTTTTATGGATATCCTTCTGTAGAAAAAAAAATTAAATTTCCGGATATCAATAAAGCTTTTAGGCTGTCAATAAGGTTTTCAATACCTCAGAGTTAAAGAAAAGCATTTCTACTATATTTATAACTGAAAGTAATATTTGTTTCAAATCAGATTAATTGAACTTTAAATTAGCAATTTTAAAAAAAAAAAAAAAAAAATCTTTGCAATCAATTTAAATTTGTTTTGAAAATATTTTGCTTAATGGAAATATTAAATTTAATCTATTAGCTTGAAATTAAAACTAAAATAAAAACTTCAAGAAAGATTTTTCATTTTTAAAAATTCATTTTAAATCTTAGGCATTGCATTTCTTTGGAGGCACCTGTGTGTATGTATATATATATATATATATATATATATATATATATATATATATATATATATATATATATATATATATTTCAGTCATAAGTAATTCCCTTTATTTGGTCAAAAAAAATTCCTTGCACTTGGAAAAATGTTATTCTCTTCCATGACATGGCCACATACATCAAGAAATCATCAGGAAAAAATTTGTAAACACTATTGGTTTGTTCTATCTCACCTGCCATATTCACGTGACTTTGCACAAATTGATTCTTACCCTTTTTGACCATTGCAAAACATTTTGATGTGGAAAAATTTCTCTAATGTAAACCAGAATCAAAAGTTTGGTGAAAAATTTTTCATGTTAAAACCTGTAACATAAGTGGCAAAACTTCATTGCAATTAATGGTGAAGATATAATTGAATAAAATGAAATTGAACATTATTTTCTTAAAAAAATAAATATGATAAACAAAATGATTTATGACTCAATCTATTTGATTATACTAAAACTTTTATGGAAATTGATTTATAAACAAATGACTGGTAAATATTTTTAATTAATCAAGTTTATGTAACTACATTCTTGTACTCTCAGTTCCTGTTAAACATGATGTTAATCTATGCAGTATATCTTAAATTGATACTAATATAGTTAAATATTATTTTTAAAGGCAAGGAACTTGTTGAAGTGATGCATAGTTGTCTTAATATATGATATAGTAGCTGCACACCAAATGTTTTTCTAAATTATCAATTATTTAATGTACAAAATTATAAAAAAAAAATATTTTGATTCAATGTTTCGGTTCTTGATTGTTTTGTTTTTTTTTGGTGGTGGGGTTCATGATTAATTTTTATCACTTCATAAGGGATGTGTGTGTGTATGTATGTGTGTGTGTATATATATATATATATATATAGTTGAAAATTACTTCATCTGTAAAGAAACATTTCTTCTGTAAGTAACAATGTAAATTACTTTTATTATATAATAGGAAAAAATTGTTTAAACTTGTTTCTTTCTTTTTTCTTATTGAAATGCATCATATTTTAATCTCTTTCAGGTTTGTTTTTGAAAGATAATCATTCACCAGGCTCATCCAGTATTGTTTCCAAAGTGTGTTCACCAACAAATTTATACAGATTGTGTGACCGGGTATGTTTGTTGCTCATTCATGGGAAAAAACACACACAAATTAATTGTAATTAAATGTTTGGAGAAAATCTATACAAATTTAATCCAAGTCTGGGTTAGAGAATTGTTTTTATATCTGTTAGGTTCAATAAAAAGAAGAGAGATTTCTTTTTGATTTTTTTTTTTTTGCTTTATTCACATGAAAGAATTTTTTATAGAGTAAGGTCATTGTATTTAATAACAACAAAAAGATTATGTTGGGAGTGTCTACTCTGTTGGTTTTATTCATTTCTAATTTATTTTTACAAGCAAAAAATATCAGAAGCAAATTCTTAAAGTTTTCATCTAAAAATAAATTAAAAACTCTATCTATCTATCTATCTATATATATATATATATATATATATATATATATATATATATATATATATATATATATATAGGAAATGTTTATAAATTTTTGTTCCATATCCTTTTGTCAGATTCTAATCCACATATTTGATTCCAATTTTTTTGTGTGTGTGAAAAAAGGAAAAAATGCTTAGAAATAAGATATTAGTATTTAAAATTATTGTAACAACTATCAGTTACTAGACCATTTGATTTTTTTCAGTACCTATTCATAAAGAAATGTCATTTACTGAAGATTCTCCTCTGTATGAATACAGAAAAATGAACTACACTTATAGCAAGTCATCTTGATCATGTCTTATTGCAATCAACAGGTGGAGCATTTAAAATATATTGACATTAGGATATTTGTTTATTTTTTTAATTATTGCCTTCCATCCAACTTTGTTTATAAGCTGTTGTAGAAGTTATTTGTATCTTTTATTAGAGACTAGCAGTAGAGCCCGGCATTGCCCGGGGATATAACAGTAAGAGATAGATCAAGTATCCACCATCATAAAGACTGAAAAATAAAATTGACAAAGATTATTGTTTAAGGTTGACAGACACACATGTCTTAATTTTTTTTTTTTTTTTTTTTTTACGAATTGGTCAAACTCAAACAAAAACATTGTTTTCAATCGTTATGAGTCTCCTGATTGAATAGAATAATTTTATAAACAATTGTCTTGTAAATGGAATTTTTAAAGCATTCTGAATGTAAAAATAAAGAAAAAAGTGTGCAAGACAATAAGAAGCACTACATGCCCCCCCCCCAAGTGAAGTTTTGTTGAAATCGGTTGAAAATATAGGTAGCCTTTCTGTAATCTTTTTAGTTTTACAATTTATGATTTTTACTTATTGAATACAGTAAAAAAAATTGCATATTTTGCTTGTGGTGATTCATAATTAGAATTCTGATTTGAATATATATTTCCACTGTTGTTTCTAATACAAAAAAAATATTAACTTTTGTTTGGGTTTATTAATTATGATCTAACAAATCTCATTCATTTAGTAGCCTTTCTGTATTATTTATTATCTTTTACAATTTATGATTTTTACTTATTGAATACAGTAAAAAATTGGACACCATGTGTATTTAAAGTAGTTTCCCGTTCCGGTTATTATTATTTTTAGTTAGGACTTGTGTATGTTTAGATTTCATTATCTTTCCCTAAAGATAAAGAATTTATTCCGATGTTTGTATTCGTACAATCAGTAGAGATCATTAAGATTATTGTTTAAGGTTGATGGACACGCATGTCTTAATTAGTTTTTTTTTTTTTTTTTTTTTTTTTTTACGAATTGGTCAAACTCAAACAAAAACATTGTTTTCAATCGTTATGAGTCTACTGATTGAATAGAATTTTATTATAAATAATTGTCTTGTAAATGGAATTTTTAAAGCATTCTGAATGTTAAAAATAAAGAAAAAAGTGTGCAAGAGAATAAGAAACACTACCTGCCAAAAAAAAAAAAAACGTGAAGTTTTGTTTTATCGGCTGAAAAATATAGGAAATCTACTCCCATATTTAAAGGAACCCACGCACACAAACAACCCGATGTGAGTTGTCCCCCTTCCATTTTTACGATGTCTCTTAATCGTGTTTTCAAATTGATTTTGTGCAAAAACAATTATATTTTTCCCATTTTTGGCGCTGTTAGAACCACCACAAGGTAATTTTATGTAGTCCTGTGAAGTTTTGTTGAAATCTGTTGAAAAATGTAGGAAATCCGATCCAATATATAAACGTTACAGACACACACACATACACACACAATCTGCGTTTTATAATAAGTAAGATAATAATTTCTAGTATGTGCTTAATTGTGTTAAAGATATACAAATATACATTAGTTTTAAAGATTCAAATTTTTTAGTCTTGTTTAAACCATACAAAGATTAAAAACATGGAACAATTTTTATTACCACAAGTATTCTTTACTTAAATATTGTTTTCATGGTGATCTTTATTTAAGGCCATGTTGTCATACATCTCTTGACTAGAACTGGAAGCCTTATCTCAAATCTTGTCATTCCACTGGAAGCAAAGTTTTTTTAGTTTTAGTTTTGGAGCAATTTGCTGCAGTAGAAATTCAAAGAAAAAGTTAATTTTATCAAAAAATACTTTATTATGATTATAGAAGTAGAAAAGATTAGTATAGAAAATTTTAGCTTCTTCTTTGCAGTAAAAAAACACTGACTTGAACAACAACAAATAATTATTGGATTTTAATAAAACTTTTAGGACTTATTCACAAATGAATTAAATTATTTTAGAAATTAGAAGTATTTTGCTTATTGGAAATATTAAATTTAATTTATTAGTTTGAAATTAAAACTAAAATAAAAGTTTCAAGAAAGATTTTTCATTTTTTAAAATTCTTTTTAAAATTTGGGTATTGCATTTCTGTGGTGGTACCTAAAATATTATAGAATGTCGTGTTTGCTCCTATTTTAAGTTTTTAATAGTAAACTAAAACAAAATTCAACATAGTTTTTTTTTTTTAAAAATACCTTTTTAGGAAGAACAAAGAAAATTGCTCATAAGAAAATAAAATTTTATCAGCAATATATTTGTTATGAATGGCAATATTATAGAGAAAAAAATTAACATTATGTAACAAATAATAGCATTTTTAAATAAATTTCACTAAAAACAATCAAAGGAAAAAGTCTTTGGGAGAAAAGTTGTTTAAAAATTAAGTATAACAAAACATTAAAATTAACTTTCTTGGGAAAGACTTTGTAACATCTATAATAAGAAAAAGTAGAAAAAAATCAGGTTAATCAGTCTTTAAATCAAGTTAAATTAAAATGTTAATTTCCATATAAGAAGCATGGTAAAAATTCAAAATACTTTCTTCATTTGTTAGGAACAAAAATACAGATTATGCACAAAGTTGATCATTAGTGCATTTGCTTTCATGAATAAAAATTTTATAGAGAAGAATATTAATGTTAAGTGAAAAATGTTAACTACCAAGTAACAAGACCAGGTTTCCTAAATTACATTTTTTAGTTAATTTCACACAAAAAATGTTTGCTTTTGCAATGAAAACATGAAATAATATAGCAAGCCCGAAGGAAATGAAATAAATCTTATACTTAATTCAATTAAACAAGCTAAAGGTATTCCAAATTTAAAAAGCAATTTTTTTAACTAACTACGTCAGCGAACTACCACAAACCCAAACTAAAAGAACTTTGCTCCCAGTAAAATGACTAGATTTGAGATAGGCCTATAGTCTGGACAAGAAATGCATGATGACATGACCTTAAATAAAGATCATCATAATTTTTTCCCAATTCTCAACTGTATTTCTTTTAATGATGGTCCATAAATTTTTGTTTTAGATGAATATATAAGCTGGGATATGCATTCTATTAATTTGGTATTTTTGAAATCTTTTTTTGGCAAGTTGGGCAGTAGTTAACTTTGCAAAAGGTTTTGCATAACTATAGTTTTTAGCTTAAAGCTTTTTATTTGTGACCTGTAGCACACAAAATATCTTCTTTGAGAACATAAAATAATTCTGGTTAACTGATAATTTTAACCCCTCTAAAACTAAACTGCTCTTCTTTAATTGTATTAAAGAACCTTTTATGCCTTCCATCAGAATGGTTGATGCTAATCTTCAGGAAAGTGACTCCTTGCACCTTCTCAGGCTAATTCTATAAATATTTTCACGGTTATTGCTCTTATGAGCTTTCCTTTTTCATACCCCAATTTTACAAATTTAAGTTAAGTGCAGTTCTAGGTTGACAGCTAGATGTAATCATAAGTTCTATGTTAACAGTTTTTTTTCCTCCCACTTCTCACTTGTGGAACTCTCTTCAGACTTCTGGTTTTCAGTCAACTTTGATCTTCAAAAATTTAAATGCAGTCTGAATTGTTATCTTGTATCTTCTTAATTCCAGTTCTTTTATTGTTCTCTCTCCTTAATAATGATTTTCTTTTTTCCATATTCTTCCACACTCAGTAACCCCTTGTCTTAGGGACTTTATTGCTTTGCTTGGGGTGAAATGATTAAAAAAAAATTTACTGCTTGAAATACAAGCTCAACTTCCAGCCTGTTGTCTTCGAAGTTATGTTGCTTGAATATTTCCATGAAGGGCCTAAGTTGCTCTGTATTTGTAACTAAAAATTACTGCTGAGAAATCAATTTTCATGTACTACCTTTCATGACTTAGACATTTCTCTATGCAATGTTTATTTAAATGTTATTGTTGGGGCATTACTTAATCTTCATCTTTCCTCTCTGTTTACATTTGTAACAGTAGCTTACTACCATTTTAATTTTTATTACCTTTTTGTGATGTCCTTAAAGCCAATTTCCAACATTTTGTTTCCATCACTGAATATCTTATTTCTCTTTTGAGGTTATATCTGTCTTATGACCCATTCCAACCTTTATCTATTTGAAATTAAATAATAACTATCAATAACTATACTGTTAAATATATTTATTTACAATATTATGAAAAACCTTTTGTGTTGCATTTATCATCAAATAATTTATTGTAAATATTTCTAATGAAAACAGATATAAACTGATATGGTATATTTATTATATATTTTTAAAGTTCTACTACGATCATTTGGTTAATTCTAATTTCATTAAGAAAACCTTGACTTGCAGGATTAAATCTAAGTGTAAAAGTTAATTTTTTGAGTGGTGTGTTTAAACTAAGCAGGGATTTTAATGACAAAATATTAAAGAGAAATTCATTATTATTATTAATTTTGAAAACAGTCATTAAAATTCCAAATATTGTTTCTTATATATATGTTTTTAATATAATGAAGCATTTTTAATGGTAAAATAATTTCAAATTAATTATTTAATCTTTTGATATATTTTAATTAAATTTAAATATTTTTAATTATCTTGAAAAGGTTGGAGAATCTGGTTCACTATTTTGTGTGTCCTATGTTGGGTCATTTCTCATCTCTTTAGCCATGGTAAGTTGACAAATTTGCTATTAAACTATTATAAGTTTAAAAAGTTAAACCAACATCTAATACACGTTTTATAGGGTCTGTATTAAGCATAATTTTTTTTATTCCAACTAAGTGAAGTTTGTAAATACAGACATCTTAAAATCTATATATGGTTTAGATTGCACATTATCAGATATGTAAGTTTAAATGAATAATTTTTTATAACTAAATCTCATTTTTATGCACATGTTATGGATCAGTTCAAATACTCAAATAGTATTCACATTTAAATGAGAGTAGATAGAAGTAAAATAAATACTAATGATTTTTAATTTTAGTTTTGATTCCTGACCTATGGTGATATATTGGCAGCCATTATATAATTTTGGTTAATTATTTTACTCAAATTTGTCATTTAATTAAGTGATACCTTGACAATTACTCAGTTTACTTTTAAAAATAAAAGAAAGAAGTGATCAGTCACTTCACAATGTCTCATACACCCAGAGCACTTAAATTGTCAGATTTGAGAAGTAAGCACATTGTTTGGCAATCTGAAATTGAAATGAGTCAGTGACAAAAATTATCAAAATTGAGAATTTCAACTGTGACCAGTTTGAGCATACAAATGAAGGAAAAGAAATGCTGCATCTTGTTCAGATTAATTTGGAGTATCAAATAAAATGTAAAATTAAAAAAGAGCCTTATTGTAAGTCAACAGTGTCCAAATGGAACACAACATTAGCAACCAAGTTTGTTAATCATATGCAGAGAAAGTAAAAGAAAGCCATTTTTGGAAAAAGACAATATTCAACAGGGAGGAGAACAGAGAAAATGAACAGATACTTGAGAGTTGGAGCATATTGTCATCTTTTTGAAATCTTTGTTGCTCAATTTTTGAACATTAGAAAGAATTGTCTCAACTGCTTGCAGCCTGTGACTAAAAAAGAAAGAATTTTGGTTATGTATAATATGAGGAATTATTATTATATACCAACCTTAGTTTTGTCTTGTACTTAAGTTTTCTTCACATATACTTTTGAACCAAATGTTTTATTTCAATTCATGAGAACAGATTTTCATTTTGCTTAGGGGATATCTCTTATCACTTAATTCCACTACTAGATTCTGCAAGATCCACTTGGCCTCATGGATTCAAATATTGATTAAATTTTTGTTTAGCAGTTCAATCTCTAAATCAGGTATAGTGGTAAAAACTAAGTTCAATGGAAGAAATGAACAAGTGACACAAAGGTGAATAAGACTGATGAATATTAATTGATATGAAATGTTCCTTTGGCATGGAAAGCAGGAGAACAATTTCTTTGTGTTGATTGAATAAAGGAATTGTTTCTAAATTTTGAAAACATTATTTAGCAAAAACAGAGGAAGGCCAAAACATGAGAATACTAAGCTGGGTAGTCAGATAATAGTGTAGAAAGTAAATGGAGTGTGACTTGTTCAACTCTTTCAGAATATTGGAAAATATCAATTCAAATCCACTCTAATAATTATTAAAAAAAAACCCTCTTTTCATGAAGGATAGTGTTACAGCAAACAACAACCTTAGAATGATGGGTTCTAAAAGGCATTATGTGACTATCTCTTATTGAAAAGTCAGTTTTCTGACATGAACCTTATTAAATGATTGTGTGTAATATTTTGTGAAAAAGAAAAAAAATTAAAGTTTTTAATGTTTGGAATGCATTCTGATCAAATAAAATATGCTAAATCATAGTCACCATCAGTAATAAGGAATTATTTTACTGTCATTTTAACAATCTTGATTTCTTACCTAGCATAGGCATGTACTTCAGCTAGTAAATACTAATGATTTTAGTTTTAATTCCTGAACTAAGCTGATATATTGGCAGCCATTATAAGATGTTTATTTATTATCTCTCAGTTTGGCACTTTACTATTAAGAAACTTATCAGTTTATGATTTTATATTAATTTATCTATGCTGATTTGTGTTATTCATTCATCTATATCACTGTCTAATATAAATACAAACACACTTGGAGTTTATTTAACAATTATTTGTCTTTGTCATTGTAAATTGCTTAAACTTGTCAAGCTGGTTAAATGTAAGTTAAACAAAACAGATAAAAGAATGATTTGCAAGTATACAATTCAAAACATACATTGCTGTAGTGTGAGTAATCTGTAAAATATTTCAGAAACTTTTATAGTAGGAGGAAATTAGTATAAGTTTTAAAATACAAAGCCTTTACAGATAAATGCAACTAAAAATATCGTTAATAACTATCTAGGTTAAATATTTTTTGTTGTTTATTTCTAATAAATCTTATGAATTTTAACTTGAAATTTATCAGGCATTTTTTGTCAGTTTTGTTTTAAGGGAGATAAATCATATAATTTAGAAAATATTTTTATTTTCATTAAATTATAATTTTAATCCTTATTTACTTCATTTTTCTTTTAATGTAATTCAGTCTTTTTGAAGATTTTGCCTTTTAACATCTGATTATCATTTCATTGAACATATGTTGATAATTGTTGAATGTATAATTTAAAGTGTTTAATAATTAGTTACTGAATATAGTACTGAAAAATAGAATATGAAAATATATAAATTCATAAAAAAATGTCAAGCTTTTATAACGTTGCTGTTATACAAAAACACAACTTTAATATTTATTTATAAAGCTAATCTTAGTAAAATGTATTTCTTTGTTAGTGCAACAACAAACATATCAGAATATTTAGTTTGTCAACCCAACACTGATGGCTGCAAATATTCATTACCTAGTAGACAGGATTTAATATCAAACATGTGAAAGAAATGACTTCAGTTGTTGATCAACTGTAAAATTTGGGATTGAATTTTAAGTAAACAGAATGAGAAGCATACCTGGAAAGAAAAAGCCTGATTTGATAAATCGTTGACTCAGATGTGTAGGCAGAATTTAATAATCAGTGTTTGTCTACTTTTTAGACTTCTGTAAAAAAATTAAAAAAAAAAACAAACTTTGTAGATATTTACAAAGTAAAAGTGAGTACTACTGGGATTACTCGTTCATTATATTTACTCCTGCTAGATTGTTTGCAGCCAGTTTTATCTGTCAAAAATGAAGTTTTAAATTGTTAGTTCCATTCATTTTGGTGGTGTTTGTGATAATTCTAAAATAAATATGAATTTTATCTAAAAATTTATACAATATTTTTGTCTTCTTTTTATAACTCTTTATACATTTAGACATTTGAAGATTTTGTTCAGATGTGACTTTATTCAAAATAGTTTAAAATTAGAATCAAAAAAAGAAATTTACTTTCAAAATAAAGGTTTCTATTCCTTTTGATTATCACTGTACAGGGTGCAATGAGTAAATTGTTGGCATTTCATGTTTTTAATTTTGTGCATTGTTTTTCATTTTGTTGACTGCACAGTATAGTTGGGCACTGTCTTTGAGTAAAAGAGCACCATGACGCAATTCATTCTGTCAGAAATTTGGAAACTCCATGCTGTACGCTTTGGCATTTATGCCATAAACTTTAATACAAACATTTCAGAGTGTTTGGATGTCAATCTGGAGATAGTGCAGAGGATTCGGAAAGAGTTGGATGAGTCTAATGGTGATTACGAAGGTACAGCAGCTGGGAAAACTCACTCTAGTCATTCTAATAAGAAAAAAACTCCCAAATTTGTTGGTGAGGGTCTCAGACTCAACACAGAGGCCTACATCAAGTGCCTTGAGGAGGTAGTGTCACCCTGGATCAAAAGGGTGGCTGTTGGAAGACCCTATATCTGGCAATAGAACTCTGCTCCATGCCACACAAGCAGGAAAACCCAGTCATGAGTGTCAGACAATTTCTGTGGCCACATCACCTCTTATATCTGACCACCTAACTCCCCAGACTGCAACCCTTTTGATTATTATGTGTTGGGTGCAGTTAAACAAGAGACCAACTGTAGTGATACTGGCAAATTAATATGCCTAATTTGCAAGAGAAAGACTATATAACTGGTCACTGAGAATAACGTGAAAAAGGAAGACATATTAACGACTGACTAGTGCTATATTTCGACTTCACAAAAATGGCGTCGCAGATAGGATCGCATTTGTCTCTAGAAGATTCAGATTACGTGGATGTATGGATTCGCTGTTTTTCTGCCAGTGCGAGAAGTAAAAAAGACAACAAGGAGAAGGGAGGCGAAAATGAAATTACGGATTTATTTTTGGCTACAGCTGGATGCGAGGCGATAATGACAGTCTCCACCATGGCATATCCCACAAACTTGGAAGACCTGACTTTCGAAAAAAATAAGTCAGATTATAAGAAGAAATATGAGACCCAAGAAAAGGCTGGTAGTGGCAGAAAGAATGAAGTTCATGTCGATGAAACAAGAAATTGACGAACCAATCATAAAATATCTACACCGTCTACGAAATGTGAGTAGATATTGCGAATTTGAAAAACTTGGACAAGATGAACAGACTATTGAAGAGGACTTGATTCAATTAAGGTTAATTGAAGGTATGTGCAATGCATCACACCGATATAAAATAATGGAACAACTACAAATAGGAAATATGTCTTTAAATACATGCATTTACTTTATCCAACAAGAATTAATACAGAAATACAACCATCAAAAAAGTCAACCCAGTGAACAAATATTCGCTGATACGTACATGTTAAAAAAGATAAGAAAATGTTCGTATTGTGGATGTGAACCTGAAATAAAAAGGGAAAAATGACCAGCATTTGGAAAAACCTGTACAAATTGCTTAAAAAAGAACCCCTTTCAAGCAGTATGCAAATTCAAAAAGAAAAACGTTGAAAGAGTTGAAGAAAACGAAACCAATATGGAAGTCTTCACATTAAAAAATAAGAATATAGAAAAAATTGAACAAAAGAAAATAGACATTATACTAAAGGTTAAAATCAACAACTGCAATTTAGATATGCAAATTGATACGGGGAGTGAAGTAACGCTGATACCAAAAAATTTTGGGGAACGCATTGGAAAGCCACATTTACGAAAGAGCAGTT